GGGGGGGGGCGTATTGCCACCAGTGAGATGGCTCGGCCCGGCCCCACAACAGGCAACACGACGGAGTGTTTCCGTGTGTTTCTCTGGTTTCTCTTAGCGACTTGGACGATAGCGCCTGCCTCGCACTGGGTAGGCTAGCCCGCCAAACAGCCCTGTGAAGACGGCGGCCCGCCCTCGCCCCCTCGCCCTGCTCCAGCGCCCTCGCCCCCGAGATATCGGGCGTTGAGGCAACGTTTGGGCGCTAAACGTTCCTCCGCGGCACCTATCGGCTGCGGCACGCCCAGGAGGAAGCGCCACGAGTGCTCCATACACATTACCCTTTGATAGAGGTGAAAATAAAAAGGAAAGTGAAACGGGTTTCTCGGTCCGTCTGACGGACGGGACGAGACCGGGCATGTTGACCTTGAAGCGGGGCGGATCCAGCCCGCGTTCCAGAGCCGGTCTTAAGCGCCCCGCTCGGACCAGCGCAACGCCTGCCGCCCTCAGGCCTATTGGTCCACCCGCCACGTCAGGTACGTGCCCCCACCTCCCTCCCACCTCTTCCTCTTCCCCTGGATGCCTGGAATCCTTTGTTCCCGTCTAGCTCCGCGGTCTGAGTCTATGAGACCTCACACTTGCACTTGCTGCCATGTATAGATAGCACGAACACCTAACAACGCCCATTGGCATATCATTTCCGACAAATTTCAAATTCCAATCCCCCCCCCCCAAAAAAAAAATATCTCGTAGGTGTTCGACAGTAATGTCGGCTTTCTCCGCCGTTTGGTACATGCCTGCACCGGCCCTGGTTGCTCCAACGGTGCGGTACGCGCAGCGCACGGCTTAGCTCTTATGCAACGCGGGCGTGCAGCGCGTATACTGCTGACATGCAATCTGGCTGGCGATCTGGTCTAGAGCGTGAAAGGCCTCAATTGTGGCGCGGTGCGGTCGTTTGGCAGACACCGCTCCACGATCCGCCCCACTCACCCCGTCGGTAGTCGGCCCGCCGGAGGGGCCGCACCCTCAGCCCTTCCCCGGGCCTCGCCGCGGAGACGGGGGTGCTGAACTTGGTGCGGGCCTTGGAGAAGTCGAGTCGCTCCAGGATCTTGGGGTCGTAGAGCGGCTCCTCGCTAAGGATGCCCTGCGATCATAACGTTAAGCAGAGCAAAATGAGGGAGAGAGAAAAAAAATCATCCATTCGCTTTCCACCCCAACAACGAAATAACTCCAGGAATTCCCTCTGTTGTTTTGGGTGGAGGTTGTTTTGGGTGGAGGTTTTTTTTTGCACTGCAAATAACTGAAATGGAGACAGGTGGACCAAGGGGTGTACTTATTGCCGCTATTGTGGTAGTAAAAGGGACACCAAAGGTCGTTGTGGCGAGTAGACAAGTCGCCACCTTTGGTCAAAATAGGGAAGAATCTCTTTTGAATTTTTTAAATTTTATTTTTGATTGTTTGATGAATAAATTGTGATATTGACACTCCATCCATACCGGCCGACGACTCACTTCCCCAGAGAAGGGTTGAAGCCGGGTTGTTCACCTGCTGGAGCAAACTGCTCCATACGTCAAAGGGACACGTGGAAACGGTGAAATAATGTCATTTAATTGAAGTGAGACAGCAAACAGCAGCAAAGGAGACAACACTCAGGTTTTCGTCCAAATATTGAATGGCAACGTGCCCTTAAAGGGTTAGAAGATGGCCTTGAGGAAAGTTTTGACGTACCTCTCTGGGAGCACCCATTTTAGTCCCTGCTGCAGCTGCTAGGACAGTGCTCTTGACTCCCACTCCGTAAATCTGAGGGACTCGACGCACACTGACCGTTTCGAGCCTTCAATCCTGTGGAGTGGAAGGCCGATACCAAAACAAAACAAAACTTGCCAGCAGACCACTTTTCTTCCTTCCCACTTCTTCTTCAGTTGTTGAACTGGTTGGCAGCCCTGCAAGCTGAAATGACATTTATTTCTGTTTAACCTAAATTGCCTAGGTGTTTTAAAGCATTCCGTTGTGAAAATCAAATATCATTGGAAAATATTGATTATTAGTTTTCCTGCTTATATGCTAAGAAATGGAAGAATCTTGTTTTTTCACAAAAAGCCGCCACGAAGCAGAAGCCATGTAGTCAACTGTAAATAATCGGTTGATGAACTTGCATTATTTTGAAGCTAGGAAAGACAAAATTGAATTTTTTCTAATTTATTTCACTTACTCTTTGTACTGTTACGATAATACTATGTCCCTCATGATTAAACCTCCTACTTGACATGAAAATTACACATATTTTGATTGTACCATGGTTGGTATGTCTATGTCCAGTCGGGGGCTGTCATTAAACAGTCAACGCTTGTGACTGCGCCATTTTCTACGTATTTGTGTCAGAGGAATCTAGGCATTTATGTGATATTTGCCTTATTCCGAGGCCTCTGTGTAGGTTTGAATATTACAAACATCATGCATTGATTTCCACGTCAACGCGATCGCTGAAAGGTGAGTTTCACAGCAGTATGTAGTATATAACCAGTCCTTGTCAAAAAGTAGGCTTGCCGCTCTGCCCAGCAGTAGGTTATAGTGCCGATTTTTTAAATACCGATCCTCTTCAACTGAAAACCTTTTACTTTGACCATTTGGCACAACTTTTTTCACCGCTCTTTCAAACTCTGCACTGTAATTCGCCTTCCGACCGGCCGGCTTGCAAATCGATACTGTAAACACGTCATTTGGGCTTATGAGTGATAGTGTCGGCCCGTCGGCCCCGTCCCCTGCCTTTGAGGGAGCGGCAAGGTAGTCAATACGGAATATGCTCCTTAGATACTGTTTTGGCCCACCGCCGACGCTTGCGGCTTTCGAAAACTCTTTCATTACGATAGTTTTGCTGAAAACAACGCATTTGGTATCAGAACATTTAGTGACAACACAACCGGGACCTCCCCAGTGTATTGAAGTGGGCGTTAGTGCCCTCATTGCGCACTCGTAGCGTTAAGCCCCGACGGAGATACCCATTTCTGTTTCATATTGCGACCAGATCGATTAATTGTACATTTTTAAGTTTAAATAAAATAAATAATTTCGGATGTAGGTGCTTAACATTCGTTCCTATAGTTTTACCATTCTGCTATTACTATTTACATCCTTAAAATTATAAGGTTTTGCTGATATTTACATTCAAATGTCTCTAAATTCTTCTAGTTTTTTTTGTTTTTGTTTTTTAGTGTAGCTGTGGGCCTTTTTGCCCCCTCTACATTTTCCCCTCCTCCCAACTGGCAGTATCATTTGCTCATTGACATTTCCCATTGCCCCCTCCACTGGTCTCCATCCTGCACTGATTTAAACCTTGACTGTGGTAGCATCTGATAAAACTGTTGTCTTTATTTTGTCCTGTCCCCTTGGCGGGGCCTTGGAAGGTTCTGAGAAGTTATTTAATGCCTTTTTGGTTTTAAGTCTAATTAATCAATTTTATTTTACAGATCAAAATGCCACTTCCTAAGCGCATGGTTGAGCCTGTGCTGGTGTCAAGGAACACTATACCAGATGGCTTGACTCTTCCTTCAGAATTGGAAGCAGCTACAAATGGAACACTAGCTAATATAATTCGGCAACTATCAAGCCTTAGCAGGCATGCTGAAGATCTCTTTGGTGAACTTGAAAGAGAGGCCCACAATCTGCAGGATCGTTCCAACTCATTACAAGCTCGGATTGACAGATTGGCCATTAAAGTCACACAACTAGACAGTAATGTAGAAGAAGGTGCGCTTTTACTTAAATGGTTTGGTAGTACTGTATTAATTTTGATTTAACCTCTTTATAATAACTTTTGAAAACTCCCAAACAGTTTCACTACAAGACATTCATATGCGGAAAGCATTTAAAAGCAGTGTTGTTTTTGATCAACAAGTTGTTTCAAGAGACACAATGCCCACTGCTATGCTAGAAACATATCAGCAATGTGACAAACCTCCTCCTCTTCGCAAACTCAATCCATACCGGTATGTATTGCTATTGTTGTGAAATTTGTTTTAAAAAAATGTTGTAATCTAATTTCTAATTTACATTTATTAATTTTTTTCAACCATTTTACAGTGATGACGGGAAGGATGGACTTAAGTTCTATACTGATCCTAACTACTTCTTCGATTTATGGAGACAAGAAATGCTAAAGGATACTGAGCGGATGATGCACGACCGTGGGAAGAAGGTATGATGATGAGTGCTAAGTATTTAATTGCTCAACACACTGGGAGCAACGCCAATTGTCCTTGAATAAGAGCCAAGTCCTGAAGTGACTTCTATCAGCATCAGAGTGGATGTGTCTCACAAACAGCAGGGTTGTGTTTTGTGGCCTTTGGTTTCAGTCCTTACTATAGTAGTATGGAGGATAGATTTGAGCAGCTGGAGTATGATGTCTACAATCACATTCATCAGTGTGCTCACACCAGTGAAGAACTACTAAAATTCATGCAGTTTATCTCTGACCGTTGCTTAGAATTTCGCACTTTTCAAAATAATATTCTTGACAGCATTAAAAATTGTGATAGCGATGTAGCTCTTCTCAAACAGTTGAGTTCTACATTCCAAATTCATTCATTTAGTCTTAACAATAAGTTGATTGATTTGGAAGACCAAGTTAATGGTCTTAGTGTCCCCTTCTTATCGCCGTTATCCTCAAAAAGTTTAGTTATGGCTGTAGCCAAGGCAATAGGTGGTGTTTGTTCTAAACTGAGAGTGAGTCTTGAATGAAAGACGTAGTCTCAATTTCTGTAATGATAACCTTGTAGACTACATAGCTGTACATGTTTACAAACGTATTATCTTTTTCTCTCACAGCCTCACCGCCCAAGAAATGAAGGAGGTGGTGGACGTCACAAGAAACGACCGCGTCAACCTCATAACACCAGGGAGAGACAAAGGCAGTTAGCTCTAGGTCAGGGAGAGTACCTTATGCCTCAAAATGTTGATTACCGTACACCTCAGGTATTTAAATCCCTATTAATTCTTCCAAACCATGCTATTTTCAAACTTAACACTTTATCTAACTCAATTTTATTTGTTATGTAGCGTGTGCAGCATCCTGATGAAGCACTTCTAGTAATGGATCCAAGGCCACCAAGGCCTAACAGTATTGAGATCAGACGAAGCTATCCAGATCATGGCGATGGCCATTACAGCCCTCAACCATCAATTCACTCACAGCAATCACAGTATGGTCAGACTTCTCAGTATGGTCAGCCAGCTAACCAGCTTTACTCTCAGACTCAACAATACGCCCAGCAACATTTGCAGCAGCAACAGCAGCAACAATTAGCTCAGCAAAGTCAAATGAATTCAACACAACCTCAGCCACCCTTAAGTCCAACTGATACATCTCACTACAAGTGTGTATTGTTTCTTTTAATTTTTTTAATGACATAACTACAAAGTCAAATTTTTACTAACCTCTTTCTTTCTCTATGTTTTTCAGGTCAAACTATCCAGGAAGCTATGAGGATTCTGGTTATTATGGAACAGACGCATACCAAAGTCCAAACAGTAGTATTTATGGGCGGAGCGCTGCTGCGCGGGCCAACTCTCAGCGACCGTCACAACCCCCGCCTGCCCCACCCAGTGCCAATAACTCCAGTAACAGGTTTGTACAAATTTCCTTCTATACTGTAGCTTTTCCTTGCTGATTGGGCATGTGGCATTTATCGTGCTCTAGCGTTGTTGATTTTTGTTAGTATGTAATTTCATTTTATTATCTTTACTCTAGCACACCGACGGGTACTTCGGCCACCAACACGCCCACCAGGGGCCGCAGCATGAGTGCGGGACGCGACACGTTGCCGCCGCCGCCGCCGCCCCCAACAGAGGTGACGTCCAACGGCCCCGCTGTGCTACCGGGTCACCTCCTCAACAGAACCAACTCTGTGAGCCACTCGGGCAGTCGGTCAGGCAGCCCCCACTCTACGCCTACGCCAACTCCGCCCAGGCAGCTTAGCCGGGACGAGACTCCAGAGCCCCTGCACAACGATATCCTGCCGCCGCCCCCACCTGTGCCCGACATGCCCCCGGCCGCGGCGCCGCCTCCACCGCCACCACCACCCCCGCTGCCATCGGCACTGCCAAACGGCCAGCTGGGCAAAGCCCCTGGCACCACCTCACCCCCCCTCAATATCAACGGGGACATTGGCAAATCTCCCAATAAACAGGTACGTTGAGTATGGATTATTTTTCATCAAGCTTTGTAATTTATTCTTTTAAAATTAATTATCTTATTGCCCAGCAGATTACTTCTTCACCACCTAAAACGTCACCTCCAAAGATGGGAGATCAGGTGGCTGCACGCAAGGTTCATAACATCGGACCTGTTTGTGATACTCGCAATGATCTTCTTAAAGCTATCAGAGATGGTAAAGATTGTGGCATCAATGTATTTTGCATTTCTTTCTTCGGAGGTTTTTTTCTGCTTACTTACAGTCATGTCATTTTTCAACAGGTATCAAACTTCGTAAAGTTGAGAAAATTGAGCAGAAGGAAGTCGAAAGGGTCAATGCTCCCCTTGATGTTGCATCTATTCTGGCTCGGCGTGTTGCTGTTGAGTTCTCTGATTCAGACTCTGCTAGCGACAGCGAATATGATAGCGATGGCTGGGTTGAACAGGAAACAAGTGCATGACATGTCCGTTTTGCTCCGGACGTGTCATACGCCTCCTAATGGGTTATACTTTTAACCAGGAGCCGTATTGTAAATTAGACATGTCCGTTGCAGTTATAAAGTCATTGGCCATGACAGAAGTTACGAAAATCATGGGTGTCACAGCCATTGTCTGCCACTTTATTTCCTACATTACTCGTGGATGTGGGTAAACATACCTGATGTATTTGATAATATTCAAATATTACTACTGTACTATATGTCAATTTAGCCCTGTCTTTAGACATTTGTGCTTCTACCTAATCATGAATGATTCTTCTTTCCTTCACTGTTGGGAAAATACTAATGCTGGTAATAGTAATCATTTCAAAATTGTGGTACTGAGCCGTTAAGTCATCAATATGACAAAGTACTAAAGTTTAGGTATATTATTTTACATGAGTGCCATACATTCTGTATGTTTCTTTAGAAATTCCATGTTCTTTGAGGTATTTAATTGTGTGTAATTCTTTTTTAGATTAAACAACGATTAGTTGTAACAGCATCATGATTATCCTCAAGTATTCCAAATTGTATGGCTTTTGATCTCAGAAAGCCATTTTATACTGTAGACATTTCCTTCAGACTCATTTTGATAAGTTATCCTTATTTTCTCTTGCGTATGTCCATGCGGTCTCAAATTATTTGCATTAATTTGTTACTACTAGCATTAGAGTTTTCATTTACTGTATTGCTCATCTGGTCTATCTCACTGCATATTACAATTTTGTAAAGTATTGTGGATATATCTTTTTATCAAGCATTACCAGTTTCTCAAATAAAATTTGTCCTTTTCCCTGAACTTTTGTATATTGAAGTTACATTCTATATCAACCTCATGTGTTACACCTTTCACTGAACTATGCTTTTATGTAGTATCATGTGAGAGGTGTAGCACATGGGATTTTGTACATTTGTAACAAGGGTTTATTATTAAGGAGTTGTGTGGTCATGTGCATTTAGGGAGATCTTGTTTGTTGTTAAGGGAACACTGTCTATTGTAAATGCTCAGTCTATTATATATCTACTTCTAAAAAACAATAATATTTCCAAGTAACTATGGAATTTGTGTAAAGTTATATACTCTTGTGATAATTTTAAAAACATACTGTACAACGTTCTACATGGTGAAGTCACATGCTTTGTGATTATGTTGTAATAGGTATTTTATAAGTTTCAAACTATGCTTTACTGAAAGTGCTAAGATTATTATATTGATGTGATCCAAGGGAGCTGTGTTCATTATTACTTGTGAGAACGGCTTTATCCTTGGGTGAAAACCTCTGGTCAGTATCTTATTAGTCAAGTAGTTGCAACTCATAATCATATTGTCAGAGAAACTGTTTTATTGATTGTATTGTTCACCCAGTATCAGACACTCTAGTGGTTCTGTTGAGATGTACTGTAAGTCATTATTTACACCCAATTTTATGTCTTAAACCTCTTGGTAGAATAGGTATATCTTATCTATTTAAAGGTGAAAAGTTTTCCTTATTAAAAAAAAATTAGTCAGCTTTTTAATTATTTTTTTCTGTCTTTTATGGGTTTGATAATGTGGGTGGACAAGCTTACATGTTAAGAGATTGAAATAAAACCTACCAAAAGAACAAGGCCTATGAAATATATTTATGCAAAGTTTTGAGAATTGTAATTTACTATTTCCATTTTGCCGTGAGAGGTGTTTGTGATTCAAGGGGCGAGTGCTTGTCTGTAGGCCTATTCATTTCTGTCCTAATCACAATACATAAATCTTCTTTTGCATCTTAACATTAAATGAATGACAGATGATGTTTTGAGGGGAGCAGTCTAAATTTTGGCTTACCCTTTGTATACAAGCACTGGCATCAGTCTGTGTTAATGTTGATGTAAAGAAACTTATGGTTGTGTACATAATGTGTAAGAAGACTCTCATTTGCAAACTTACTCGGTACCTTGATCTTGTCTTAGGTTATCATTTTAGTTGGTGCAGAGAATTCATTTTGAGTTACCTGGGGAAAGCACATAACTCACATATTCTTTTTAGAGTTTTATTAGGGTCCAAAGATTTTGTTTATTCAAAATATTATTGTGTTCTGTCTACATTCAGTTACAGCGAATTATGTTTTCGTTACATAGTTGTACCATTATTTATAGCCTTTTAAAAATGTTTTTATTATATTTTCTATTCTTAAATTATTTATTCTGTTTTGAATTGTTTCTAGCCTTGTTGTTGTAAATCACCTACCCCCCGAGAGGGTTATTGTTATGAGTACAATACTTAAAGGCAAGGAATCCACATTTCTGAAAAATAATGTATGCAGACTTTATGGTATAGAACCTTGTTGAATTTCATAATTACATCAAGAGAACTTGCAAGTCTTTTGTTTTGTTTTAAAATTAAATGTAAAGCAATTAATTAGCCTGACTCCATGAAAGCTGTGGCCAACATTCTTTCCTTGGAATCTTTTATTATTTAATTGGGTTTGGATAATTTCTCCATTTGCCAGAATGTCTATCTGCTTCTTATTAACTCATTGAGTGCAGGTGATCTTTAATCCTTGCATTTCGGGCTGTGGTCATACTGTACTCAACATGTTCAGTGGCAGATTCATATTGCTTTTACATTATTGGGTTGATATTAGCTTTTAGAAGGACTTAATACATTCTGCATTGAGCATTTGCATTACAGCCCGTTTTATCCTTTAAAAAAATTCTTTTTTCTACCATTGATAGTTGGGATTTAGAACAAAATCTATGGTTAGACTGTATATATTCAACAAACATTTGTATATGAAATATATGTAATACACTGACATTGTTTATCTTTATTTGATCTATTGACTTCTATCAGTCTGCCAGCATTAACATCCCTAGTTACATGGAATTCACATTGCTTATTTGAAGTTGTTAGAGACTAGTTGTCACAAATACAAACACACCTAAACTAATGTATATTACATATTTACAGTTCATGTTGTAAGTTCTTAAAAAGTTAAAAGTATTACATAATCTATAACTATGGCTGGCTGGCGCTCTTCTTCGTAATTTACAATCTTGAATAAATAAGGAACATGAAAATGTCAAGCGTATCTTGCTATTAATATGAGTCGGTTAATTTACTTGTCAGTTGAGCACTCTAATCTTAACTGGATATTTCTTGACAATGTCCAGGAGGTAGGGGTGAGGCATTGTAGCTACACCTGGCGCAGGCACCGGAGCAGTTTGGGAAGAGCCCATGTGAATGTGTGTGACGGCAGGATGCTTGTGGGGAGGGTAGCGGGAGACGGCTGGCATGGGGCCAGGACCGGGACCGAAGCTGGGGCCGGCAGTTTGGGGTGCATGGGAATGGGCGTGGGGGTGGGCGTTGGCGTGGGGGAAGTGCTGCCGGGGTGGATGTGGGTGAGGGTGTCTCTGAGGCATCGCAGCGGCGGGGGTGGGGTGCACCTGGGGCGGCGGCGGCGGCGGCGGCGGGGGAGGAGGAGGAGGAGGAGGTGGTGGAGGGGGTGGCGGAGATGGGGGTGGTGGATGTCGTAGACGCTCCCAGGGTGGCCTCGGCCGCGCACTCTCGTCCCGGATGTAGCTACTCGACCACCGAGGCGGGGCATGCCTGTCCATGCCGTAGTAGCCCCGGACGGGACCGAGGACGGCGCCCGGCTCTGCAGCCTGCGCCGCTGGACGTGGGTGGTTGTAGGGGGGGCCAGGGGGAATGCCGGGGCCGGAACCCTGCAGCCCTTGCGGCTCCCTCAGGCGCGAGTAGTGATCAGCGGGTCGAAAGTTGGGGTCGTAGTCGTCGTCGTACTGCTTCACCTTGTTGGGCCACACCTTGATGCGGTACTCGTCGCGCTCCTTCTCCGTGAAGGGGCTCTTGTACGAGTGTTGGCGTGTCTCGTCGTCCCGGTATTTGGACTTGAAGGTGCTCGTTTTGAACTTGTGCTTGGGCCGGCGCACGAGCACGACGGGGAGGTGTTCGACCACCGGGACCAAAGGCACCTCCTCGACCTCTTCCTCGTCTTCCTCCTCTTCAGGCTCCTCGGCAGGCTGGCTCTGTTCATCTTCCTCGGAGGCTGCGACCTTGTTGTTGCGGTGGCGCCCACCCCGGCCGCCCCGGCCTCGTGGCCTCCTGTCGTCATCCTGGTCCTCGTCGCTGTCCTTGGGTTTCCGTAAGCGACTCCTGACGCGCACGTATTCGTAAGGGGCGTCATCGTCCGACAGGTCAGACATGGAAGGGCCGTCCGAATCCGACTCCGAGTCGGTGTCCGAGTCCGAGTCCGAGGACTCGTGTCGCCGAGCCCGGCCGCCGCGCTTGGCCCGCCCTCGCCGTCCGCGCCGTCCGCGCCCTCGGCGGCCACGACCTCGCCTGCGGGCGGCGAACGCTCCCGGTGAGCGGCGATCGCGGATCGCGCCTCCACCTTCCTCGCGGGGTAATGCGGCAAAATACGTCGCAACCACGTCGCTGTGCGCCCGGGAGTCCTCCCGGGAGTTGTCTGTTCGTTCTTCGGACTCCTCTGAACCGCTGTTTCGTCCCTCTTCTGTTCCCGGCTGCCGTTCCTCTGACTGTTCATGTTCTTCAGATACGCTGCTCTGCCCCTCCCCCACGGTACTTACTGAATTTCCTCCTGAGCTGTGCTGTCCCTCTGCGATCATGTTCGAGTTATTCCGTTCCATTGAGACTTGTTGGTATATGTCCCCATGCTCGTCCGGCATCCCTACACCCTGCTGTTTCTTGCGGTCTTGAAATCGAAAAGACGGGTAGACGGCTTGTGACATTCCTCGTTCCTGGGAAACAGAGTATTTGACATTTGCGGTGAGGAACATCAAAATTATGTCTATAAGCGACTGTTGTTGGACAGAAGACAGTAAATCCCGATTGGTTTCACTAATATTCGCCTACAACTGTTTAAAACAACTACGGGAAATTAACGGAACATTTACGGCGCCGAGCGGCTTTTGTCTACAATCGGTTTGGTTCGGATGAAGCCGCTCGATGGCGCGTCGGGTGTAGCTACAACTGTGTATATACAACCAGGGATGTGATGTGTCTCGACATGAGGAGAGCGCCTGGTAGGCTGGCAACCTTAATGTATGAACGCATACGAGCCATGCGGGCTTGCCTATCCACAGGCTGGCCCTTCCCGCTTCCCCACGACATAGTACGTCCCTGTTTGTGGCGACAAAACTGCCGGCTGGGGCAAACTTTTTTCTGTCGCTTCTTGTCTTCCGTTAGTCAAGACCGATCTCAGAACTCTAACGGGCAAGGGCAGGCTAGCAGTCGAGCGCGCTAAGCGTGTTCGTTGGCAGGTTGGCAGAATGTGGGGATGGGCGGAAGTTCGAATCCCGTCCGCGATCATTTTTCCCGCTCTGCAGCGACAGCTGGGATCTGGATTCGGTCGGGAGCGGTAGCGATGCTCACTATCGTTCCTTCGTGGCTAAGTCGGAAGCGCCCAGGAGCGGCATGAACATGCTGGCTGGTTCGAATCCCGCCTGGGTGATATTTTTCGCGCTTCGCTGGCCATGACTTTTCAGCCGTGTGATACCTGATGGGCCGGTACACAAACAGTCGCTGGTTCGAATCTCGTCGATGGAACCCTTTTGCCCCTCTGCCGGCCATGTGTTTTCGGGTATGATAGCTACAGCGGAGGTAGGACGTTCTTTCCCAATAGCCTCAATGGCTCAGTTGGTAGGGCGCGCGCTCCGGATGTGGATGGTCTGTAGTTCGAATACTGTTCGAGGATCATTTTCCCCCCGTTTTTTTTGGCATCCGATTAAACTGACCAGGCCTGCAACGAGATGAGGAGGTGGACCCGACCGAACAACTATTCAGCGGGACCCGCAAAAAAGTTCGCCCCGACCAGGATTCGATCCCTTGACCCGGCGGTGACTCTGCCTGGCCAATGTGTGTCTTCGGGCGTCAGTCACAGCTGAGATCTAGATGCTGCCGAAAGTTGTGCTCTGTATCGTTCCGTCGTGGCCAAGTCGGTAGCGTCCGGGCCCGGTATGAATCTGGTCGCTGGTTCGAATCTTGTCCCGGTGATATTTTTCGCGCTCCGCTGGCCATGACTTTACAGCCGTGCGACACATGGACATGGGCCGGAACGCAAACAGTCGCTGGTTCGAATACAGTCGACAAAAGCCTCATCATTGGCTCAGTTGGTAGAGCGCGCCTCCGAGATGCGGATAGTTGTCGGTTCGAATACTGACTGTGGTTCAGTTTTTCCAATTTAGCAGTTTGCGGCGCGGGGACCAAGGGTTAGGACAAAAGACCACCCGACATGGTGAGGTGGACTTTGCCCCCCCCCCCAAAAAAAAATAAACAATAAAATCTTCGCCCCGACCAGGGCTCGACCCCTGTGCCGATGGTGTCTCGTGCACCACGTGCCAGCTCGCTCGCCACTCGGCTGCCGGCTCCACTTGTCAGCGGACAGTTCAGAACTCGGTCGTGCTTTGCGAGTCTTGTTCTCCCGGATTGCACGCGTTCAGGTCGGGTCAAGTCAACCTCCTCGACGCGCTGCAGCCCGGGTAGACTTCTGGCCAGAAACAAGGAAAATAGCCAGTAAATTAGCCCCCCGGGCGCGCGGAGGTTAGGTTAGGTTAGCGGAGCGTGCATTTATTGGCCTTTTCGCCCGGATTTCGACCCGGGCTGCAGCGCGTCGAGGAGGTGGACTTGATCGGACCTGAACGCGTGCAATTCAGGAGTACAAGACTCGTAAAGCCCGACCGAGTTCTGATCTTGTCGTTAGCAGAAGTAGGCGACAGCCACATGGCGAGCGCGCTCCGGTCTGGTCCGGAAACCGTCGGTCCAGGGATCGAATCCCAGCCGCGGTACTTTTTCCCGCTCTGTTGATCATGTCTTCGGGAGTCAGCGAGAGGCAAAATGCGCAGGTAGCCGAGAGCGGATCAACAGAGCAGGAAAATAGTAACGCGGATGGGATTCGATCCCTAGGCCGACGGTTTCCGGACCACACCCGAGCGCGCTCACCACTCAGCTGTCGACTGCTTCTGTTCTCGAAAAGGTCAGAACTCGGTCCTGCTTTACGAGTCTTGTACTCCCGGATTGCACGCGTTCAGGTCCGATCAAGTCCACCTCCTCGACGCGCTGCAGCCCGGGTCGAAATCCGGGCGAAAAGGCCAATAAATGCACGCTCCGCTAACCTAACCTAACCTCCGCGCGCCCGGGGGGCTAATTTACTGGCTATTTTCCTTGTTTCTGGCCAGGAGTCGACCCGGGCTGCAGCGCGTCGAGGAGGTGGACTTGACTCGACCTGAACGCGTGCAATCCGGGAGAACAAGACTCGTAAAGCACGACCGAGTTCTGAACTGTCCGCTGACAAGTGGAGCCGGCAGCCGAGTGGCGAGCGTGCTGGCACGTGGTGCACGAGACACCATCGGCCCAGGGGTCGAGCCCTGGTCGGGGCGAAGATTTTGTTATTGTTTTTGTTTTTTGGGGGGGGGGGCAAATTGGATGGGGCTGCTGAGTAGGCGGTCAAGTCCACCTCACCATGTCGGCTGGTCTTTTGTCCTAACCCTTGGTCCCCGCGCCGCAAACTACTAAATAGGAAAAACTGAACCTCGGTCAGTATTCGAACCGGCAGCCATCCGCATCCCGGGCGCGCGCTCTACCAACTGAGCCAATGATGAGGCTTTTGCATAGGTGAGGCTGATCTCCGGTGTGGCTCACACCCCGAAACATATGGCCAGCAGAGGGGCAAAAGGGTTCCGTCGACTGTATTCGAACCAGCGACTGTTTACGTACCGGCCCATGTGTCGCACGGCTGTAAAGTCATGGCCAGCGGGGCGCGAAAAATATCACCGGGAC